ACTGATCACTAATTATAACTGGGCCACTTTTCAGCATTTAAGTCGGTGTTTTGTTTAGAAACTCACGGATAATTTTTATCCTTGAGGACAAAGAGTTGGACAATTAAATTCTTTGTGGAATCTAATAACATCTTCTGCTAAGTTTTTTCAAACCTAACAATCACTAATTACAATAACAATATTCCTTTTGGTACTCATACAGGCTATTATATATTATGTTACTTGATATTATTTTTTTAAACATTTTATTAGGGGATCATACAACTCTTATCACAATCCATATACATACATCAGTTATGTAAAGCACATTTGTACATTCATTGCCCTCATCATCCTCAAAACATCTGCTCTCCACTTAAGCCACTGGCATCAACTCCTCATTTTTCACCCTCCCTTCCCGCTCGCCCCTCCCTCATGAACCCTTGATAATTTATAAATTATTATTTTGTCATATCTTGCACTGTCTGAAATCTCCCTTCACTCACTTTTCTATTGTCTGTCCCAGGGAGGAGGTTATATGTACATCTTTGTAATCAGGTCCCCCTTTCCACCCCACCCTCCCTCCACCCACCCAGTATTGCCACTCTCATCGGAAGGGATCATCTGTCCTGGATTCCCTGTGTTTCCAATTCCTATCTATACCAGCGTGCATCCTCTGGTCTAGCCAGATTTGTAAGGTGGAATTGGATCATGATACTGAGGTGGAGTGGAGCCTTAAAGAACTAGAAGAAAGTTAGATGTTTCATCATTGCTACACTGCACCCTGACTGGCTCATCACCTCCCCGTGTCCCTTCCATAAGGGGATGTACAGTTGCCTACAGATGGGCTTTGGGTCTCCTCCCCGCCCTCCCCCTCATTCACAATGATATGATTTTTTTGTTCTGATGATGCCTGATCCCTGATCCCTTCGACACCTCGTGACCACACAAGCTGGTATGCTTCTTCCATGTGGACTTTGTTGCTTCTGAGCTAGATGGCTGCTTGTTTACCTTCAAGCCTTTAAGACGCCAGATGCTATATCTTTTGATAGCTGGGCACCATCAGCTTTCTTCACCACAGTTGCTTATGCACCTGCTTTGTCTTCAATGATTGTGTCAGGAAGATGAGCACCATGGAATGCAAGTTGAATAGAGCCAACTATTCTTGCATTGAGGGAGTACTTGAGTGGATACCCAATATCCATCTGCTACCTTAATAAAAATCCTACAAATATATGCACATAGATCTATTTCCACATCCTAGTTACTTTATATTCTTGATGAACATTCTGAAACAAAAAACATAGAATAATGGTGCCTAGGTCATAAACTTTGGTGCAGTGGTAAAACAATGAGCATCTTTAGGAGTAGAGAAGCCAGATTCGCCCAGTCTTTTGAAGGTAAAGAATTATGCTAACTCTGAGGTGTTCAGGTGAACCAAGATAAAATTTATACAGCGAGACTATGAGGGTTCAATCATGGTTAGATAAAAGTCCTGGAGCCAATTTTACATTAAATGCATAGGGACATGATTAAATTAAGCTGTGATAAAATTGATAAAATTTAGGGTGTGCCTAGATTTTAGGCACATAGATGCACAGGAAAAGCAGATTATAAAGATAGGGTGAATGTAAAATGTCTCCTAAGGGAAACGCTTCATGTCACCAGCGTTCTGATCCACTTAAACCATTTGTTCTTCAAGTAAACAAAGTCACAATTCACAGAAATCTTTGGAATTGCAACGTGTTCTATAATACTTAATAAAAATGTGGATACCCACTACCACAAAATATGCAATTTTAATAAATATTCCTAGCTGTAAAAGCAAGACATCATGTTCTAACAAAGATAAGAAATTGACATGATAATAAACGTTCAATAGAAAATATTGATAAACTTGGAACAATTTACAGAAAATAATAAAAAGAAGAAAAGGTATGGAGAGGAATCAGGATCGATTAATTCTTCAGAAAAGGGAGACCAAGAAGAACTGCATTGCTCCTCTTCTCCAGCCACCAGCTCTTCCTCAGGGTGAGTCCAATGATAAGTGTGGGAAATGGAGTTCATCTCTAACCGCACTTTGCCTTTATTACTGAGAACAGAAAGTTAGCATGAAGGGTTGAAAAGTGGTGAAAGCCATCAAGGTCAAAGTTCTGTAGAGATGAAAACCACAGAGAAGTCAGCTCCAAAATCTTTGTAACTTTTCTCTCCAAGTATTTGCCTGACTTTTAAACAGTGCAAGTTCAGGGAAATACCAAAGAAATCCAATGGAAAATAGGAGCTGAGAGGTTTTTGATATGAGCAACATGATTCTCTGATTCTCTTCCTTCCCATTAAAGAAGATTTAACCCTCTTAGGAAAAAGATATCTAAATAATAACCTATAATTTTATACTATATTTTAAGCATGTAATCAAAATGATAAAACCTAAAAGAAGAAAGTAAAGGAAACTAATAGGCTACAGAAACATGGTTAGAGATGAATCATGTTAAATTAAAATACTGTGTTAAAAAATAGTCGAGATTAAAATATTCCTAAAAAGAAAGAGAATTTCAGTCAATATTGGAATGCATAAAATATTGAGAGCAGACAAAGAAACATACTACATATACTTGAGGGAGCAGTGTCAACAATAGTAATTAGCTTTTCCACAATAAAAAAAGAAAGTACTTGAGGCAATGAAATGGTAAACATAAAAAGGGAGGGGTAGGGTGCTAAGATTTTATGATATGAAATATCTTTTCTAAGTGAACACAAAATTAAGGCAGACTTTAACACTTATCTAAGCATATTTACCGGTATATATTTTATTTAGCTCTTTTGCCTCAGTGCACCAGTTAAGATCTCAAATGAAAAGTCTCATGGCTGTGATGCAAATAGAATCCTCTAATGGCTTTATCTATTATGGAAACACATTATTCATTATTTCACCATATAAGGTGTTAGTCTGCGCTGACTAGAGATATAAATCCAGAGTATAAGAAATAGATTTATTATATAGAGAGCAATTGAATATTGAGAAAACATCCCAGCCTAGTCCAGATCAAATCCATAAGTCTGTTAGCCCATACATCTGATACCATTCTATACATTCCTCTTCAGACTCATGCATCACATGCAATGATGCCAAATGCAGGATGATCACAGGTCAGTGGGTGAAAAGTCTTGTGGATCCAGTGGCGGTGGAAGCATGTCAGCACTGGCAGGAGTCTCCAAGTCACTTCTTCAGCTCCAGGGCCCTAGTGTTGTTCCATGTGTCTTCTCAACAGGAATGTATGGCAGAGAGCGAGTGTGTGTCCTGCCTCCAAGGAGGTATTTATCTCCTTAGTGCCTCCAAATGATGTTATCAAGCTGTGACCTGATTGACAGGCTAAACTCTACCCCTGCGCTTTTTGAGTCTCAAATTGACAACAGATTATGTAACTACCTCAATAGTGCTTTAGTAGAGTCTCCCTTGAATTTCATTAAAACTGTCATGGATCTTATAATTATCTTCAGAACAAGTTTGAAATAAAATGTATGATTTTTCTACTTTACTTGTTTAATATAACTGTATTATATTATTGTTAGATGTCCTCTAGTTAGTTGTACACAGAGACCTACGCACAATAGAATAAAATACTGCTCAGTCATGTGCCATTCTCACATTTATTGTTAATGTTTCACATATACATAGGTATTTGCTAAGATGATTTTTCATTAGGGTGTGAACTATACTTGATTATTAGTTATTGTAGTTTTATTTATGTATGTGCCATATTTGATAGTGTTATTTATATGTCTGTGTCTATTTTCATGGTATCTGATTTTTAAATGTATGGGTTTTATAATGTCTTTATCAGCTTTTGGAATTGGAGTTACATTGACTCATAAGTTGAACTTGGAACGACTTTGTCCTCTGTGCTTTCCTAAAACAGTTTTGAGACTGGTTTCATTTGCTTTTTTTTAGATGCATGATAAAACACACAAAAAAGCTGTTTCATTATGAGTTTTGTTTTTATTTTTACTTATTTATTTTAGGGTGTCTCTTCTATTATTTGTTTCACTCAAGAATTTTAAAAAATTAACATCATTTAAATAACTAAGAATTTTTAATATTCTATTATAGTTTTAATATTTAGAGTAATCAGTGATACCCCTTCTTCCTTTCCTTACATAAGCAATGTGAGGTTTCATATTTATTTATTAATAATTTTTACTTGTTCTTAGCTTAGTAGATTATTTGAGACCTTCCATTTTTTATATTTTATTACATTCTAATTCCATAATATTTGCATTGCTCTTCTTATTTTTGTGTACTTTTCTTCTTTTTCTTATTTCTCATGGTGAACATTAAGAACATTAATTTGTTTTATGTAGATGAGAAGTGTCTAATGAACTACATAATAAACATTTATTAAGAATGTGAAAAATAGAACTCATATCAACCATAAGATAATTCTTAAAACATTTCAAAGATCATGCCCCCCCATAACAATCTAATTGGTCTGTAATTCAATTATGAAAACTTATATGAAAATCTCCAAGAATTTGGATATTAGTCAATTCACATCTCAAAATCATGAGTCAAGGAAGAATTACAATAGAAATTAAATATATTGTGAAGTAAATAGGAATAAAATACTTATTGCAACAAAACTACTTAATTACATATTTCTAGAGGAAAGCATTTCAAATAATAACCCAAGTATCATATTAAGGAATTATAAACAACTTGCAAAATTTTAATAAAGGGGTTAATAAGGATTAAAAAAGTTCAAAGACACATGGAATTAAAAATAGTTAAATTTTTCCTATGAACTTTTGAAACCCCCTCACTTAGTTAACTTAAAATGTATCTCAGTTAAAATAGTATCTTTCCTAATTTAAATAATTTTTTCATCTTAATTACAGTTGTGAAATAAAGGCCTTTCTGATTCAGATTAGTGATGGAGCAGCCCTAGTAATAATCACAAGACCCAACCAAACTTTATCTTTTGAAAGTAAATGCAAACTTCCCACAGAAATAAACATTTGACAGATTATTGGGACTTACTACTCAGAAGAAAAATCTGTGCCACCCGCTGGCAGATAACTTTATTTTTTATTCCATAAACAATAGGGTTGAGTGCAGGTGGCACAAGAAGGTAGATGGTAGACAAAAGAATGTGGGTAGAGGGGACAACATGTCCAAAGCGGTGACTGAAGAATGAGAAGAAAGCAAGGATATAAAACTCAAGAAAGACAAAAATATGAGGCACACACGTGTTAAAAGCTTTGAGTCGAGCCTCCTTTTGGTTCAGAAGAAAAACAGCGTGGAAAATCAGGATATAGGATACGATAATAAAAACCATGTCAAAGCCCAGAATTGTAAAACCAACGAACAAACCACATATTTTGTTGATTCGAATATCTTCTGCAGCCAGCTTGACCACAGCCATGTGCTCACAGTAAGAATGGGCTATAACAGTGGAATGGAAAAGATGCAGTCTTTTGATGAGCATGGGTAACAGGCCAACCAGTACTGTTGCCCTGATCACCACCACCACCATCATCCACGTGAGGACAGAAGGAGTAAGAATAGACGTGTGTCTCAATGGATCACAGATGGCAACATAGCGGTCCAAGGCCATGGCCAACAAGATGCCAGATTCTATGCACTGCAAGGTATGGATGAAGAAGAGTTGGGCTAAGCAGACATTAAATACCATGGAACAAGAGTCAAACCAGAAGATGGCCAACATCTTGGGAGCAATGGCTAAACAGAGCCCTACATCAGTGGCAGCCAGTACTGCCAGGAAGATGTACATGGGCTGATGCAGGCTGCGTTCTGCAGGAATGATGACCAGTAAAATTATGTTTCCCAGGAGAGCAAGCAGGCACACTGCAAAGAAGGGAAACCCAATCCAAAACTGCACGTGTTCTAGTCCAGGGATGCCAATCAGAGTCACTGTTCTAGGGTCCAGATAAGAGATGTTGGAAGATGCCATGGAAATCAGTGAGATTTCTTCTTACTACTAATTCTGATACCTGCGAGAAATCTTGACTGGGAGGTAGAAAGTCCATAACACCCACGATCATTCAGGTCTAGTAAGCATTGTGAGATTGTTCCTTTGGACAGGCAATCTGGATTGTCTATGCTGTATGTCCGCCTAGAAACAAATACTTCAGCAACATTGTTGGGAATGACATATATGGAAGTGAAAAACAGAAAAAAAACCTCAAGATTTCTTACTTAGCTTTTGTGGAAATGGGAACCAGGATTCTAAGTGTACTGTCTTTTGTGTTTTCCGTAAGTTCTATGTTGAGGTGCCTGAAAAACCACGGCTAGCCTTTTCTTCTTCTTTATTTACCTCTAGATCCCAGCCCAATTTCAGAGCATTTAGAAATTATCCTGGGGCCTTTCAGGTCCCAGAATGGATTCTGTTTCTGTAGACTTGCGTGCAAAATCTGTGCATAGTCCTATGAGAGCTCTTGCTATCCAAGAGACTTCCTCAGGGCCCAAGGAACAGCTTATTTATTCCTGAGAGTTGGAATCAATTATTAAATCAGGCTTAGAAGAGGACAGTTTAAATTCTTGCATTCACTCATCCTTTCTTCAAAATAAGCAAGCCTCTGCTTGGGAGAGCCCTAAACAGTGCCCTGGGTGAGGATGTGAAGAGGCTGTTCTGCTTTCAGAGGCAGCCAGAGGTGGTTGCTTCATTTAACAAATTAGAGACATTTATGGATTGTTTGTTTGTAACATTTCATTGAAATTTGAGGGCAAGGTTACATAGAAAATCAGTTTCCCATTTAACAATTCAAACACTTTGAGGACACTAATTGCAATCTTCGCAATGTAACTACTACTTCCCCTGCCTACCTATGTTTACTATTGACATTTTCTTTAGTCTCTGCCTTCCTGCCTCTGACCTGTATCGCTGAGCACATGCAGATTTTCTTATCTCACATAGTAATTGTTCTATGGAGTCCACACCTATCTGGTGTTATTGCTAACCTTATGGGCCTCTTTTTAATTTGAAAGTTGAGCCATTGGGATGAGATATGTCACAGCTTTGAAAAGTATTTGAGCGTCATAATTTGGGGTGTTCTACCAGTTTCCAAAAATATCAAGGTCGGCCAAAAGAACAAACAACTCTGTTATGGAACAAGTAAGGCCAGAATGCTCTTTAGTGGCACAGATAAGAATATATGCACATATTAAGCTATGAACTATATTTTAAATATTCTTCGTTATTTAGCATGTAATTGTATCATGGCAAAGTAACTTGATTCAACACTTATATTATGAGTAAATTTCTCTTGACTCACAAGGGAAGTTCTTTCTTATCCTGTAGAGTCCCTATGAGTTGGCATTGACTCTGGCAGCAAGCTTGGTTTTTTGATTTGGAATACATCAGAAATATCATTTTGATGCTATCTCTTTGAGAGAAAGTAGCTTGAGATAGATAATCCTTTTAGCTCTCACTCATTCATGATTCAATTCCCAAACCACTTAAAACAACAATAACAACAACAGAACTATCGATGGGTCGTTGCTTGTTGACTAGGATTTCAGAGTGTGAATTGTATTGTTGTAAGCCATGTTTGATTTCCCTGAGTTGACTCATTAGGAATTGATCTTGTTCCTCTTTGTGGGGTCCTGACAGATTTTACTTATGAAGTTTAGCAAGGGGTATTGGCTCTTGTGTACTATTGATCATCCCACATCTATCATACTGCATTGGTTAATAATCAATTATGACTCACCTCCAAATTCACACTTTGTGTCTTCTTTGTGAAACGACAACTTTAAGCATTTTTTTAAATTCCCATTCACACAATACTAATTGGGCAGTAGAGAATGGAAGGGAACCAATGTAGGAGGAAAATTCTCTTCCAAGACGCTATGTATTTACTCATTACACAGACTCCATCCCATTGGATGTCCTTGTCCAAGCTCTGATACTAGTCTGCTGCCGTGCCTGAAGGTTAGCCAATGTTCTACCTGTGCAGTACACAGGAAAAACACCCTCCTGCCCCAACACCTCCCACCTCCAGCCCAGGCAGCAGCCAGCAATTTCTCCCAGAAAAGTTCTTCTAACTAGGTTTGAGGGACCTGACTCCAGTGAGACATTTCCGCATGAAAAGTGTCCCGTGGCATGCTACAGGGAGGGTTTCTGATGAGTGTCAGGGAGCGGATTTCCAGCAAGTTCCTCCAGAGTAGCATCAAAGTCACTTCTCCTTCTTTCCTGATCCCAGTCTGAACTGAGAGATTTGTTCCTTGGATGCTCGATGTCAGTTTTGGATGCAGTACTATTCCTTACATCTATAATTTCTATATTTTATAGTTATCTTTATCATTACCAGCCAAGCCTTCATTGTTTAATAATTATATTTTAGTTTCTAATTCTTAATATCAAACTTTTTTCTGTTCAGATGACTGTGTAGCTTTTCACTGTCCTGATTAAAAAGATAGACACGTATTGTTTTGTAGTAAGACAAGGTAGAGATCTGAGAATGCAGCTTTAATAGTATGAAGGGTAATTTACATAGTATGGTTGAACTTTACCAGCTAATAAATTAAGATCAGGTTTCTACTAATGAAGAAAACCTTTCAAACTTGTAAGCTACTTTTTTTTAAACTACTATACTACTAATCTGTGTTTAGCAGTGTTAATTAGGATTAATATAGTGTGATTTATCTATTTTTTAACTGTTTTACCAAATTGATGTTTCATTGTTTGTAACATAAAGTTCAGTATAATTTGTACTTCTTATCAGTTCCATTTACTCATGGCTCTCACAGTATTTCATTGCTTAGCTTAAAACTTTAAAATACTATAACTAACCATTATAACTAATTAGAAGGGCCAATTTTCAACACTTAAGCACATGTTTTGCTTAATAATGCACTGACAATTTTAATCCTTTAGGGCAAAAATTTGGAACCCAATAATATCATCTGCAAGAATTTTTGGTTTTGAATCTAACTATAATCGGTGTAATATTACTTACTCATAGGGTAATATTTGTTACACCATTGGACATTCTTGATGAACATTCTGAAAGAAAAATTCACAAAATGATGGCCTATAGATATGAATGATGGAGTACAATGATTAACCATGGAGGTTCCCTAAAAGTAGAGAAACCACATTCAATCTGTCTTCTGTAGGTAAAGATCTAAATCGCCCACGTGCAGGTGAACAACAATACAACTAATTCTGAGGTCAGCAGTCACTGCAACGGACAAGGACATGGCTTTCTACTCCCTAAAGACTTTGTTTCAGAACCCAAAGGGGCAATTCTACCCTGTCCTAACTGGAACCATGCATCAGAAATTATTCAATGGCACCGAGTGAGTGGTCAAATTGATAAAATTCAGGGTGTACCCTATCCACAGACTATTTCTTCTTCAAATGCTCAGGAAGAGCAGATTATTCAAATGGGGAAATGCAAACTGTCTGCTGAAGGGAATACTTCAAGTCACCAGTATCTGAATCCACTGCAGCCCTTTGTCCTGCAGATAAATAAAATTATAATTTACAGAGATCTTTGGAATCTAAATGTGTCCTATGATACTTTATAATAAAATTTGATACACAGTACTAAAAGGTTTATGTTTTTTTCCATTTTGAAAATGTTCCTGGCTACAAAAGTAAGACAAGACGAGGAGTTGAGATTTATTCTAAATGTCTTGCTGAAAACAATAAGTTTGGGGTAATCTACAAAGATGACATGGATGCCCATGACAGGAGGAGGAATAGGGAGAAGAAGAAGGAAAAAATGAGAGGAGGAAGGGGAGGGAACAGAGGTGGTTTGAGTGGTAGTGGTAGTGGTAGTGGAAAGGAATCAAGATAGACTAATTCTTCAAAAAAGGGGAAAGATTAAAGAGAACTCTGTATTCCCATCCCCAGCATTTCTTTCAGGATGAATTCTCTTATAAGTGTGGGAAATAAAATCAATCAATAAGAGTACTCTTCCATGACTATAGAGAAGAAAAGGTCAGAGTGAAGGGTTGCGAAGTAGTGAAAACAGTCTTGGGCAAATTTCTGCAGAGAAGAATAACACAGAGAAGTGAGTTCCAAAACCTTTTACTTTTCTCATCAAGTATTTACTGTCTTAAAGAAAGTGCAGGGCAATACCCAAGAAATCCCGTGGAAAACAGGTGTGGAGAGTCTTGATATGAGCAACATGACCTCTGATTCTTCCCACCAAAGAAAGGGTAGCCCTCTTAGGCAAAAGATAGCATCAAAAGCAACTATAATTTAAAATAATCTTTTAAATATCTAATCAACATTTTGAAACTATTAATAAAAGACAATAAAGGAAAGAAAACGAATAGACGACAGAAAGATACTTACAGTTGTATCGTAATGTGAAACATGCTGCGGATGTTTGTTGTGTTTTTAGGTGCCATTGGGTCATTGTTGCTGTTAAGTCACTTTGACTCATAGCGACCCCACGTAGAACAGAATGCAGTCTCCTCACACCATCCTAACAATTGTTCTTGTATTGAGCCTATTGCTGCAGTCATTGTAGCAACCTATCTTGTTGAGGGTCTTCTTCTATGTCACCAAGCATGATATTATTTTCCTGGGACTGATATCTCCTAATAACATGTCCAAAGTACATGAGAAGAAGTGTTGCTTCTTGCTTCGAAGGAGCATTTTGGTTGTACTTCTATGCAAGACATATGTGTTAATTATTTTGGAAGTCCAGTGTATTTTCAGCATTTTTTGTCAGCATCATGATTCAAATCCATCAATTCTACACTGCTTTTCTTTATTCAATGTTCAAATTTCACATGCACATGAGATCAATAGAAAATGTCAAGGCTTTCATCAGCAACTCATCAGTCCTCAAATAACACTCTTAATGTTCAACAATTTAAATAGTTTTTGAGAAACAAAGAAATATACATTGGTAGTTAGCTTTCCAACCAAAAAAAATTTCTGAGACAATGGAATGGCAAATGTAAAAAGAGAGTGAAAGGGTGCTAAAGTAT